GATAGATAGATAGATAGATAGATAGATAGATAGATAGATAGATAGATGGATGGATGTTTGTATGTATGTCTTTACATTGTGCAGCATCCTTGGAACCTTTGTGTGGACAAATTTAGCCTCAGCTGTGGCCTCTTCCCTTTGATGCCTTTTGGATGATTTTCATTCCATCCACAAGTCAGTGAGTGCAACAATTGTGCCTGCACCTTCCTATGGTTGTGTATTAATGACAGACAAACTATCTCACAGCTGGCGTGTGCTGAAATCGGTACACAGTAGCTGCCATAACAAATGCTGCATTTGGGTTTGCACTGGACACTGTTGACAGGGTCCAATTATAAATATAGCCAAGCAAACGGCAAGGCAAAGCCCCTGGGCCTTGACAGCTTCTAGTTATGAGAGAAAATGAAAAAGAAGATGAATAGAATTTTCTGACAGCGGCGACAGCATACAGGGAATTGGATCATACCCGAACCTTCAAGCTTATTTTGGAAGCAAGGGAGAGTTTGATGATATTCCGTCATATCATATTTATATCAAATTTATTGTAAATGACCAATCCTTCCTAGTAGATAGAAGTGTCAGTCTAATGCACTGAAGATTGTAATCGCACATCTGATGTGCAGAAGATTTATTGCAGGGGCAGCTTCATGTACTGCAGGTGGGACTAAGAATGAAATATTGAGGTTCAGTTCACCTCTTTACACCATTCATATTTGTCAGAACAACACAGGATGCTTAAAGGTTCTCATTCATTTAAAATGCTGTCTCTGCTGAATGCTGACAACTAAAGACTGAACGCTGCTCATTCTGCTGTCCGTTGCTGTTTTGTTTGTTGCTGTAAGCTCAACAAAAACCTGTGTTGTGATTTGTGACATTTACCTGCAAAGGAGAAATGGATAGAAAGATACTTTGGTAATCTATAGGTAGCAGCTTTTGCTTGTTGTTTCCATTGTTGTAAAGTGTCACATTTCCCACAGCTGAATACCCACCATGATCAGACCAAACACGGAAGGAATTAAATTCTCCCCTGTCACTGACACTACTGTTATTATAACCTTGTTAACAGAGATATGCATCAACCAAGGCAACTTGAGCTCTGAGAGCTGACATTGAGCCGACCTGATGCTTGGATAATAAGGAGCTACAGTACGGACCATCTGCGTGTCCAATCTGAGCTCAGATCTGCAGCCATGATAGATCTGCACATTGTCACATTACTAATAATACTCATTTTTGTTCTCTCCATTCTTGTATCATATTTGAAAACAACATGTTGTCTCCCAGGCGCACTGACAATTTGGTTAAAACAAGCTATGACATGGACATTGACTTGCAGAATATGTAATAAATTAGTTATTAGTTAAATATGTTATAAAGAATATTTGGAGGAATTATGACATAAGGTAAAATGACAAATTAGTGCAAGTCAATGTTAATCATAATTCAAAGATGAACTGTATCTTTTTTTTTAACAATACCGTCTCTCTTTGCTTTACCTGGACAATGTCACCACAGCATGTTTGTCTCAGGGCTGCTATAGGGATTCCATTCTAACAGTTGCTCGGACTTATCGGGACTATTTTTGCGACCGGTTATCCGCAGGAGACGGCACAACCTCAGGCCCACTGATCTCATTAAGTTTATTTTTGCTCATTTTGTATCTGTCACCCGTAATTCTTCTGAGCTGATGGTGCTGTTTTAAAATAACTGCAGAAAGTTATCTGAACGCATTTGCTGAAAAAGTAAATAGTGTAAACTTTAGAACCATAACCCACAGCTGAACAGTGGTCGAATCCGTCCCTTCCAGTTTATTTTACTCCTGGGATACAACACAACTGAAGGCCAGCTGAAGCAGTCGAGTTCATGTATATACTTTATTACCCATGTGTCAAAGAGTGCCATATGGTCAGATAATCCACATAACTTTAAAAGAAAAGTGAGAATATATCAGCTACCAGGTTTGTCACCTCATTAGGACTTAAGACTCTGTGTTTACATTTGTCTCCATTAAACGATGTTTATTAATAAATGAGTCCTAATTATCAGTAGTGGATGCAACATATTCTAAGAACAAAGATGGATATCCAGAATTTGACTTCACAAAAGCCAATGCTTTTTAATAAAAACTGATTAAACCAGTAATCAAAGTTTAATTGTTAAACTTTAATATTCCCAGATATTTCCACATCAAAGCGATTAAAAAATTACAATAACATTCTTACTATCTTGTGATCTTTGTGATTCAGCTTTTTTGTTTTCTTAGGTTCAAGATCTCACCTTTACTTATGCTCTTATGTTTCCACATATCTAGTTTTTATTTGAAGGATTCTCAAGTCTCAAGTGAGTTTTTTTCCTGTATTCTGCAGGATTTTCTTTCTATGATTCCTTCTTGTTGCTTCAGCATATATTCTCCAGGTTTTCCTCTGTTCGGTTAGAGATCACCATGATAGCTTTCTCTCATCAGTCAGTCCTATGTTTTCATCTAAGCCTTTGCTCATTTTCAGCTTTTTACTTTGTTATTCCTGCCTTAGCAGCACCTTTTGCTGTCAGTGTTCGGTTTCCCTCGTTTTGTTCAGCTAAGAACCATGACAGAGATATTGGATGCATCCCTTCAGGGGTACAAATCATAATAGTGAAGACAACATTTAAAAAATGTTTTACAAATGTATAGATTTTGGTAAACATTGGATGAAATAAAAATGTTTTCACAAGAGTTCTCATACTGAATGGTGTGATATATACTTGTTACTTATACAAATGTGTATATATACCCTTGTTGCACTGTAAAGACACAGTGTTTCCTGCAGTATTACATTTCATTCTTTGCACATAGCTGTCTGAAGGACAACAGTGCAAACGGAACCACAGGGGCACCAGAGTTATGTCAAAACTACCTCCATTGTGGCCTGATGAATGTGACTGGTACAGTGCCAGTTAAGTACACAAGCCAAGGCAGAAAAGGAGCCGTAAATCTATTCATCCGTAACCTAAAACTGTGTTTTTGACAGCAGAATTTTAAACAGTTTTAAACCCATAATTGTGGACTTCTTGTGGAGATCGGATCACCTTCAGGTCAAAGGTTACATCATTTAATCGGATTGCTGCCGGATACCCCACAGGCCTTCCTACTCCTGATGAGTTTTCAATCTAAGAGGTACTTAACATGTATGCCCACCTGTGGGTTAAACTCATTTTTCTGGCTAACAAGAAAGAGCACTGACCTGGTGAGAATCACTGCGAGGCATCTGCACACCTTAATGTCATCAGCGGGACAAAAAAAATCCATTGTGACTGTTCAAAGAAAGGTACAAATCCTGTCACGTGAACTCATTCTGTTCTCCTCAGGGAAAGGAGAGTTAATAAAAAATAATTACACTTTCTCCCCTTCTGTTATTGACCAAACAAATATATTTGTTTTCACTATTTTCCATGAAACAGCAGCAAACAACTGCACAAGTTAGATCTTTTAAATTATTATTATTAGTATTAGCTTCATATTATTAGTAGTATTGTGGTTGTTTGGGGGGTTTTTATTGTTGCAGTTAAAATTCTAACTCATGATATTCTTTTTGTATTTTATCCAGATATAATTTCGT